CACTAGTAGTAAGAAGTCTTACTGACCCCCAAAGTAAGTATCTTAGTAACTCAGGTTAAATGGATTGAATTGAGCGCGAGTAAGGAAAGGCTAGATACATGAGTATAATTGTCCTTATTTATGTTTCTTCCAGTCTTCCTTCGGCCCCCCTTTTGGTTCCTCTTTCGGTACTCCTTATGGTATACCGTTCCCTTCGTTCGTATGCCATTTCGTATACCATTCGTATACCATCCTGTATACCATTCCTCGTGATCCTCAATGTTCATTCTTGTCACGTGATCTGGAGTTCGCCCTATTGCTGCCTTGCGGGGTAATTGTTTCATCCTGCATTGCTGTGTTGGACAGCGTTATCTCCTGTTGGCTCATAACATGGTCACTCGTATCCTCGTACCAAGTAGCTCACATAGGATGCCTTCCATCAATGATTCGTAATCGTGTTGCCACAGCTATTTCTTATTTTTATTGATTTTTGATTTCACAGTATATTATGTGGTGAGAATTCGAGCCACCCAATGGAATATTTCGACGTCACTTTCCTGTGTTCAATTATCCTGTACATGAATCACACAAAGACTCACAGCGGCTGGATCTCCGCACTGGGGATATAGTTGAATTAAGCCGGTTTGTTACGCGCTGGGTCCAACCGTAGTCGTCGATACTTAACAATGGTGGTTAGGGAAGGATCAAGGAGTCTTCCTGACTCTATGTCGTTCACGAGCACGCGACGATCTAACTGATCCGGGTCTCTTGTCCTTGAGACAACGGCCTAACTGGCGAAGGGCTCTTCCTCGAACGACCTCTCTCACAAGTATGGTGGGGTCTCACAGGGGCACACGATAGGGTGCTTCGATAATCAAGAACAACAACGACTAGGTCAGAGGCAACGCCTACTAGAGCTATACCGAAGTATACCACTAGTAGTAAGAAGTCTTACTGACCCCCAGAGTAAGTATCTTAGTAACGGAATAACAAGGTGAAATTGAGCGCGAGTAAGGAAAGACTAGATACATGGCTGGAATTTTCCCTTTATATCTCCTTCTG